TATTATTATTATTAATTGTTGTTGTTGTTGTCTTCTTGTTGCTGCTATTGTTGTTGCAATCGTTCTTCTTTTTATTATTATTAATATCATTATCATCATCATCATCATCATCATCATCATCATCATGAATGCAGAGTTGGTAGGGATTCTTGATTGGTTCTAATCTTTGTAAGTTACACTCTGGTAACACTTCTAACCTGCAGCACTTGATGCGCCCTAATTCTTGCTACAAGTGCCGTAAAACGTTTACTAAGACCCAAACCTTCCTCAGACATCACGGTGGTGGGAGGTCATGTGGCCGCCAAGGTCATCATCAAGGACGTTTACTGTTCTAACGGTATCGTGCACGTGATCGACGACCTGCTGCACGTGCCCACACGGACGGTGCAGGAGGAGATGAGTGAGCCCAATGAGCTGGGGTGAGTAGTTGTTTGTGTGTTTGTTTGTTTGTGTGTCTGTTTGTTTGTTTGTCTGTTTGTCTGTTTGTTTTATTTGTTTGTTTGTCTGTTTGTTTGTTTGTTTGTCTGTTTGTTTGTTTGTGTGATTGTCTGTCTGTTTGTTTGTTTGTTTGTCTGTTTGTGTGTTTGTTTGTCTGTTTGTTTGTTTGTTTGTCTGTTTGTTTGTTTGTTTGTTTGTTTGTTTGTCTGTTTGCGTGTCTGTTTGTTTGTTTGCTTGTTTGTTTGTCTGTTTGTTTGTATGTCTGTTTGTTTATTTGTCTGTTTGTTTGTTTGTTTGTCTGTTTGTTTGTTTGTTTGTCTGTTTGCTTGTCTGTTTGTTTGTTTGTTTGTTTGTTTGTCTGTTTGTTTATCTGTTTGTTTGTTTGTTTGTTTGTCTGTTTGGTTGTTTGTTGGTCTTTTTGTTTGTGTGTTTGTTTGTGAGTTTGTTTGTTTGTTTGTCTGTTTGTTTGTGTGTTTGTTTGTTTGTCTGTCTGTTTTTTTGTTTGACTATTTGCTTGTTTGTTTGTTTGTGCGTCTATTTGTTTGTTTGTCTGTTTGTTTTGTTTGTTTGTTTGTTTGTTTTGTTTGTTTGTATGCACAGTAGATTTGTGAACCGAATGAGCTGGGGTGAGTGGTTGTTTGTCTGTTTGTTTGTTTATTTGTTTGTTGTTTGCTTGTTTGTTTGTTTAGTTGTTTGTTTGTTTGAGTAGAAAGATGCATATCGACATAAAAATACAAGCGTCTGTGGTGCAGCAGTTAAACACTTCGCCATGGCACGCAGGAGACCCAAGTTCCATTCCTGTGTCACATCAGTTGGCCCTGACAGGCAGTGTGGAAGCCCGCCTCCTATTTCATCTAAATTGTGTCGATGATGACTTTTAAAAAAAAAAACACCTTTATTTAATTTATCGTTTTATTTTCTGATTTTCTCTCTTTTCTCTTTTTTGTTTCTCTTTCAGCTATATGAAGACTCTGTTCACGACGTTGAACGAAAAACTCAACTTTGACCTGAGTTCAAAAGACGAGAACTTCACCGTTTTCGTGCCCTTGAATGGAGCCTTCAGTCGCCTCCCTTGGGACACGGTGGAGGATTTACTGCAGAAAGTGGAGTGGACGAGAGAAGTGGGTATTCCCAAGGAGGTTATAAATAGTAACTATTGTTCTAAGGGAGGCTATAAATAGAAACTGTTGTTCTTAGGGAGGCTATAAATAGAAAATATTGTTCTTACGGAGGCTATAAATAGAAACTATTGTTCTTAGGAAGGCTTTTAATAGAAAGTATTGTTCTTAGGGAGGCTATAAATAGAAACTATTGTTCTTAGAGATGCTATAAATAGAAACTATTGTTCTTAGGGAGGCTATAAATAGAAACTATTGTTCTTAGGTCCTTGGTGACTCATCCT